TCTAGGTGAGCCAGGAACATTGTCCCAGAAAGGGGGAGGAAGGTAGAAGAGAGGTGTCTCAGTGGTTAAGAGCACTTGATGCTCTTGCAGAGGACCCTGATTTAATTTTTAGTACCCACAAAGTGGCTAAAAATTTTTTTTTAATTAAAAAAAATTTTTTGAGACAGAGTTTCCCTGTAGCCCCAGCTGGCCATTACGTAGGCCACGAGGCTGGCATGGCTCTCACAGAAATTCACCTGTCCCTTCCTCCCAAGTACTGGGATTAAAGTCAAGTGCCATAGTGAGTTCCAAGTCAGCTTGGGCTATAGGGAGACCCTGTCTCAGAAATAAATAAATAAATAAATAAATAAATAAATAAATAAATAAATAATCTAAAAATATAAAGACCTAGGCCGGGCGTAGTGGCACATGCCTTTAGTCCCAACACTTGGGAGGAAGAAGCAGGTGGATCTCTGTGAATTCAAGGCCAGCCTGGTCTCCATAGTGAGTTCCAGGCCAGTTGGAGCTGCAGGGAGACCCTGTCTCAAAAAGACCAATCAATCAATGAATCAATCAATCAATCATCAATACCTAATAGTAAACACAGAAACCATTTGCCTAGAAAATGCAGCTTTTGTGTGACCCTTAAAATCAAAGTCATAAGAGAAAAAAAAATCGAAGTCACAGAAAGTCCTTTTGCTGTGTGTTTATAGCGTGTGTTCAGCCTCTCCTGTGATGATGGTAAATATGTAACACTGACAGTTACACTGCCTCAGTTAACTCAGTCTTCTCTTCCTCACAAGGGGGATGTGACTCATTTTATAGTCCTAAACCAAAGCCCTGTGAGGTTTATGGAAAGGAATTTTGATGACAGAAATTTCTGTTTCCAGTTGCTTAAGTTCAGGAGAACTTGGTTCTTTATAGGTAGGTGGCTGACTAAAGGCCCATGAATCATGGAGATATTGGCCATTTGTATGGAGTTTCATTTTCTTGTAATAAGATGTATAGTCAATGGTAACCATTGTTTCTGCTGAAAGATGGCTCAATGAGTTTCCCCTAGTGAGCCTGTGGGAACAGAATCCATGTATCCATCAATACAAGCTGTGCCCTGCATTGAGCTCCCAGAAAGCATCTGCATCCCAGACACAGCCCTGTTCAAACACAGGAAAATAGGCAGGGACCAGGCATTGGTGGCACATGCCTTAATCCCAGCACTCAGCAGTCAGAGGCCAGCCTGGCCTATATATGAGTTCAGACCAGCTGGGGCTACAGGGGAACCCTGTCTCAAAAAAAAGAATGGGATAGTGTGGGGGACATAGATGTTTGAAAGAAACATTTGGGGGACTGAGGGCATGAACACCAGGGTTATTGCAGGTATACATACCTGGGAAAGGCACAGTTTGGACCCAGATGAGAGGCGTATTTGCTTGTTATGTTATTTTAAGTTGTATTATTGTATATGTGTGTGTATGGTGCATGTGTATGCCACAGAGTATGTGATGAGTCAGCAGATAACTTTTAGGAGTCAGTTCTTTCTACCATAGCTTCCAGGGATCAAGCTTAGTTGTCAGGCTTTTTTTTCTTTTTTTTTTTTTTTTTTTTTTTCCCCCTAAGCCATCTCACCAGCCCTATTTATTTATTTGTTTGTTTGTTTGTTTATTTATTTTGGTCTTTCTTGAGACAGGGTCTCCCAGTAGCCCCAGATGGTCTAGAACTCACTATGTAGACCAGGCTGGCCTCAATCTCACAGATATCCACCTGCCTCTGCCTCCCGAGTGCTGGGATTAAAGGCGTGTACCATGCCTGGCCCTATTTTATTTTTTTGAGATAAGGTCATGAGTCCTTGTAGTCCGTGTAGTCCAGGCTGGCCTCCAACTCACAATCCTCCTGCCTGCCTCCCAAGTGCTGGAATTATAGGCATGGGGTGTCAAACCTGGGCCAGGGCTTTGGCTTTTATTTTGAATGAGATATGAGTCCACTGGAAGGATTTTATGTGTAGAGAAATTATCTGATTCATTTTAACTTTTATGTTAGACTTCTGTCACTGGAACAAAATACTTGAGCTATGCAACCTAAGAGGAGGAAAGGTTTGTTTTGGCTTATGATTTTATAGGGTTTTATATGGTCAGTTGGCTGTATTGCTTGTATCCTTCATGAAGCAAAATAGTAAGGCAAGGAGTGTGTGGTGGCACAGAGCAATTCTTTTTGTTTTGTTTTGTTTGGTCTTTTTGAGACAGGGTCTCCTTGTAGCACCAGCTGGCCTGGAACTCACTATGTGGACCAAGCCGGCTTTGAACAGAGATCTGCCTGCCTCTGCCTCCCAGTGCTGTGTGCACCTGTCTTTTTGAGACAGGGTCTCCCTGTAGTCCCAGCTGTCCTGGAACTCACTACATAGACCAGGCTGGCCTTGAACTCACAGAGATTCTCTTGTCTCTGCCTCCCGAGTGGTGGGACTAAAGGAGTGTGCCACCACGCCTGGCTTAAATTTTTTTTTTAATTTTTTATGTGTATGAATGTGTTATGTGTATGTGTGTCAGTGCACTCATGTCGTGCAGTGTCCAAAGAGGTCAGAAAAGGTCATTGGATCCCCTGGAACTGGAATACGGATGGTTGTTAGCTGCCATGTGGGTGCTAGGAATTAAACCCCAGGTCCTCTGCAAGAGCAGTCCATGCTCTTAAATGCTGTGCCATCTCTCCAGCCTGTAACACCTTTCTTGATCCCGCTATGTGCACCAGGAGTTTCTCAGTGCTCCCATTAGACCTTGAACTTGTTTCCTCAAAAAGCCCATGACTTCTTGAGAGAATGGTGTATGGGGTTTGAATCGCCCACCATGGGGAGTATCTGTACAATGAATAATAGAATCTGGGGTGTCTTCTTCCCCAGCTTACTATTACTTGTAAACTTGTGTCTAATAGGTACTGCTTCTTGGACTTTTTAAGTTTTCGACAAAAAGTATAGAATTTCCTTCTACTGAAGCCACAGTAAATTAGCAGGAGTGACCCAGGTATTAGTGTCCTTCAGTTGCCCATGCTTCCATGAGCTATCTATCACCTTGAACCTGAAGGAGTGCTAATTCTTTCCATTTCCTCATTGTGGAAGCTGTGCAGCCCTCTGGCTCTCTGGGGCTTTGTCAGCTTTGTTTTGCTCTCCCAGTGTATTCCAGCTGCCCAGCACCCTGAATGGGCGTGAGGGCAGAAAGGCTGTTTTCACTCACTTTCCCCTCCTACTTACTGCAGGCAAGTATTTTCTGCCTTTTGACCATTCTAACTTGTGAACTACTGTTTTCAGAGCACCATCTGTAGGACCCTTAGAGCCCTCGCTGGAGTGCCAAGCCCACTCCCTAGAACACAGTAGATTATCTGGCCCCACTCTGATAATATAATAAATTCATAATTACGCAACACATATCTATGATGTATGCCCACCTCCAGCCTACCTGTATTAGTCAGAGGTCCAAAGAAACATAGCCACTGGGGAGGGGGCAGTATAAGGATGGATAGATTTAGTTTCAGACATTGGCTCATACAATTTGTAAGAACCAACAAGTCCAAAGTCTGCAGGGCTGATCAGCATGTTGGAAATTCTGGCAAGAGTGTGTGTTGTGGTTTGAGGCTTAAAGGCATTCTGGAGACAGAATTCCCTCTTGCAGGACCTCAGTTTTTTAAGCCCTTCAACTGATTACATGAGGCCCACCTACATTGTGGAACGTAATCTGCCTTACTAAAAGTTTACTGACTTAAATGTTAATCCTGTCTAAAAAATACCTTCACAGCAACGTCTAGAATAGTGTTTGATGGGTCCCATAGCTGAGATGTCACATGAAATGAACATCTCACTCTTCAACTTTCAGCCTTGGGTAGTATGGTCCTCTGCCTTAACTCTTCATTTCTCTTAAGAACATACTCTCTGGGCCAGGTAGATAGCTCGTCAGGAAAAGGAGCTTCCCACCAGTAGCATGAACACCTGAGTTTTCTCCTCAGACCCACAAGTTGTTTTCTGGCTTCCACATATGCACCATGGTGCACGCACGCACGCACGCGCGCGTGCACACACACACACACACACGTAATGTGTTTAAAAAGCCTCCATGGACTGGGGATGTGGCTTAGAGTTTTTGCCTAGCATTCATGACCATGAGTCCAAAAGCAAGACTGACCATGGAATGAAACTTCTAAAACCATGAGCCAAACAACCTCTCCTCCTTTTAAGCTGTATATTTTACTCTACCTCACTCTAACAAAACTGTAGTTCAGTCACTGAGACTCCTCAGTGTATACTGAGTCCCATTTCTCTTATCCCAGATCACCTTCTAGTTCTATAGTTTTCCTAGGTCCATTTATCTTGGAGAAATATGTGTGTGTATACATACATACATGTGTGCATATATATAAATTTTTTTATGTGTATGAATATATTGCCTGCATGTATGTGAGTGCACCCATGTCATGCAATGCTGAGGAGGCCAGAAGAGGGCTTTGGATTCCCCTGGAACTGGAGTTAAGGACGGTTTGTAGCCGCCATGTGGGTTCTGGGAATTGAACCTGGGTCCTCAGCAAGAGCAATCAGTGCTCTTAACTGCTGAGCCATCTCTCCAGTCCCCATATAAAATATTTTTTAAGATATTTTATTTATTTTTTTATGTTATGTGTATGAGTGTACTGCCTGCATGTAGGTAAGTGCACCCATGTCATGCAAAGCCTTTGAAGGCCAGAGGAGGGTGTTGGATTCCCTGGAACTGGAGTTACAGACAGTTGTTAGCTGCCATGTGGGTGCTGGGACTTGAACCAGATCCTCTGGAAGAACAAGTGTTCTTAACCGCTGAGCTATCTCTCCAGCCCCAAGACAGGGTCTTATATAACCTAGACTCACCTCAAACTCTAGATCTTCCTGCCTCCACCTCTCAAATGCTGAGATTACAGGCATATACCACCATGCCAGGATTCAGAAATAAGATTTTTCTTTCCCCCTACAATGTAAACCCCGTGGACCTTGGAGATTTCCCATTGTTTTTTATTCACAGGAATTGGGAAGAATGTGGTGTGTGAGAAGGCAGCAACATCAGTGGATGCTTTCCGGATGGTGACAGCGTCTCGCTACTACCCACAGCTGATGAGCCTGGTGGGGAATGTGCTGCGCTTCTTGCCTGCCTTTGTGCGCATGAAGCAGCTGATTGCAGAGCACTACGTGGGCGCGGTGATGATCTGCGATGCCCGCATCTACTCAGGCAGCCTGCTTAGCCCAAGCTATGGCTGGATATGTGATGAGCTTATGGGTGGTGGGGGCCTGCACACCATGGGCACCTATATTGTGGACCTGCTGACCCACCTGACTGGCCGGAAAGCCGAGAAGGTACATGGGCTGCTCAAGACCTTCGTGAGGCAGAATGCCACCATCCGTGGTATCCGGCATGTCACCAGTGATGACTTTTGTTTTTTCCAGATGCTCATGGGTGGGGGGGTATGCAGCACAGTGACACTCAATTTCAACATGCCAGGTGCCTTTGTGCACGAGGTCATGGTGGTAGGCTCAGCAGGACGCCTTGTTGCCCGGGGAGCTAACCTCTATGGGCAGAAGAACTCTGCCACACAGGAGGAGCTGCTGGTGAGGGACTCACTGGCTATGGATGCAGGGCTGCCTGTGCAGGGACCCCAGGACGTCCCACTGCTTTACCTGAAAGGCATGGTTTATATGGTGCAGGCCTTGCGCCAATCCTTCCAGGGGCAAGGGGACCGCCGCACCTGGGACCGCACTCCTGTCTCCATGGCTGCTTCATTTGAGGATGGGCTATATATGCAGAGCGTGGTGGATGCTATTAAAAGGTCAAACCGATCTGGGGAGTGGGAGACTGTGGAGATGTTGACGGAGGAACCGGATGCCAATCAGAACCTATGTGAAGCACTTCAGCGGAACAACCTTTGAGCCTGCACAGGGGACTAGGAAGTGTGTCTGGCAATAACAGAGACAGTGTCTTTCATTTAAGAAACTAGCTTGTGCTAGGGCTAGGAGAAGATTGTAGGTGGCCCAGGAAAATGGCAGTCCATCTGCTCAATGACTCCTCAGACTTGTAAGGCAGCAAATGCTCCTGCTACCATGGCTCAGGGTAGCAGTGTGCGCAGGGTGGGGCTGCCACCTGGCCTCTTACGCTTCTGTCAGTGAGTAGGGCCAGTGACTGTTTACCCTGATTTTGGTCTGACAGAATGAGAGAGCCCAATAAGGAGCTGGCTTAGCTGAGTCCTCACGGAAGATGACAAGAAGCCTCGCCTTCCCCGGCTGGGCATGTTGGGAAGGGAGAGGGCAACAGGTCATCCCTCAGGGATCCTCACCTGCCCTCCCTTGTGACCAGACCCTCTCAGCCTCCAGGCTGCCCTTCCTACAGAAAAGGTTTCTGTACTATACTTTCAGGAGCTGTTGACTAGGGAGAGAAGAGACAAAGTGGAGCTGTAGGACTTTTGATAAATGTCAGTAAATAAGAGAAAAATGTGACATCATGGTATGTGGTTGTTTAGGGTTGGGGTTCTTTAATAATGAAAGGCTTGTTTACTGCTGTAGATTGCTTGGGGTTCTTTGTTCTTTTTGGTTTTGTTTTTCCCTTTCCACAGCAGCTCTGAGCCTGCCATGGATCTGTCACCATCTGCTGGGCCACATAGGCTCCTGCTACTGTCTGTCCTCATCTCTGGCTTCCTTCCTCATGGCTGAGTCCCAGAAGTTCTACAAATAAAAGTGCTTCCTCAGAGGACAGGGTGCAAAGCATCCTAGTAGACTGCTGTCAAACCTGTTTCAAGAAGGCGGGACGAGAGCCTGGGGCCTCCTGGGCTGGAGGTCATGAAGAGTTCTGTTCTTGAAACCATGGTGTAGCTCCAGGAGAGCCCTCAGGGGAGGAGCTTGTGGAGGAAGGGGCCCATGACACCCTTTGGAGCAGGTTTAACTGGCACTGCCTGTGCCAGCTGGCCAGTCACCAACCATGCTTATTAACTGTTGTAGACAGGGACAGGTCAGAGCGGGGTGGGGTGTTGAAAAAGGACATATCTGCCCCTTTTGTCTCCTTGGCTAGCCTGCTGGATTTTGAAGCTTAGGTGAACTCAGTTCCCTTCTCCAGCCTTCCTCCCTCTTCTCACCCTGGGCTCCTTGCCAAAAAGGCCCAGGGAGGCTTTCCTCTTCCTCTTGGCACCCCTTGTAGAAATCACCACGCCTATTTTCCTGTAGTAGTGTGATTTCAAACATTGTCTTTGTGAGGTAAGGCTGAAGTGTGCTAATGGTACACTGGTCCTCCAGAGTAAACACTTCGTGCATATTAATCTCCAAACCATTCTGAAAGGTACTAGTAATATGCCCACTAGAGCTGGGTATGGTACTGCATACCTGCAATCCTAGCACTTTGGAGGTAGAGGCAGGAGGATCCCATTCAAGGGCAGCCTGAGCTACAATAGTGCTAGGGTTAAATAGTAAGAACCTGTCTCAAAACCAAAACACATTATTTAAACCAGTTAATGGAGACACAGAAAGGCAAAGTTACTTGGTCAGGACTCCCACTTCTCAACCTTAACTACCCTTATCCAGCACTTGGGAATCCTTTCAGACAGCTAGGCATTGCCCTTTCTGCAGCAGGATTCAGGCTGGCCTGAACTAAGAGGGCAACTGCACAGTGCCCACTCTCAGGCAGGAAGCTGACACAGAGACTGCCCCATCTCTAGAACACACAGCTTAGCTCCAACTGTCCCTATATGTTTTACTAGGAGCCAAGGCCCCTCCTAAGTTTGAGAATGACGAAGAAAAGAAAGGTTCTTCTTGCTGACCCAAAGTGGTACTTAGGTTTTAGAGAACTTGGCTATTTAGACACAGATTCCTAAAGTGCTACAGCAGATGGCAGAGTATTAGGTTGGACTTTTATAAGGATTCAAAGTTCTCTGAGGGCAGCCCCCTGGGAGCCTAGGTTCATCCCTCCTGCCTTCTGACTACATCTTTCCACCATCTTTTTGCCACCAAAGCCTGCAGTCACTAGGAATGAGGTAAGTTGAGCCTTATGGCCCAGGTGCCTGTGGCCAAGAAAACCCAGGGATGACTAAACTATAACTAGTTTTAGGCTTGTCCTGCAGTGCCCCCTCCTGGAAGAAGGCAGCAGCAGCTCCCAGGAACACTGCAGAAAGTTTCTGCAGTTAGCTTTTCTCCTGTGATACTTCAACCAGGTAACTCCCAAAATAGCTGTTACTTAGTCACCCACCACCAAGCAAAGGAGGGAGTAAAGGTGTTTTAGACAGGGAAAGCCCCATGTGCAGAATGAAAGCAATAAAAGGTCTGGCTGGCCAGGGAGTTACAGGCAGCCTCTGAGAAGTTACAAGGCAACGGGGGTAAGAGGAACAGGATGCTAAAGGGACAGTGGCATCATTAAGTGTGCTGGTATATGCGTGCCAGGGCTACTAAATGAATCTGTCAGCCCAGAGACCATAGGCAGGGACACATTTGAGGCACCTACCTAGAGATGACTGTGACCCAAGCACAGGTGCTGACCCTTTCAGATGAGAGGGTAGATTGACTTGTAGAGGTTAGGGAGCAAAGGACAGGATATAGTCTGAAGTGGCACCCAGGACTTTGACTTAAATAATATAGAGATAGGAGAAAAATCAGCTTGGAGGGAAGGAAAAAATATCCATTTAATGGGGAGTACTCCATGTCTGAAGTGGTTGAAGGACACAGAAAGACCTGGAGGCTTGTGTCTACAATGTCCCTCGCTGACTGACTCTTCCCAAAGAGCTGCCAAAGGGCTGGAGACATCCAATAATGTGGATACATTCGTCTGCCGCCATCACCCCAGCCACTAGAGAAAAAATACTGACACCTTGTCAACCAGGAAGCATTCTGTGGCAAAGTCTGGTCTGGCTGCTCCATGGCAATGAATAGAAATTATTTTTATATTTTATTATTTTTATTATTTATGTGTATGTGTGAATGTATGTGGACACACAGAGGCCAGAAGGATGGATCAGATCCCCTAGGACTGGAGTTACAGTGTTTGTAAGCCTCTTGATGTGGGTGCTGGGAACCAAACTCCAGTCTTCTGCAAGTACTTAAGATTAAGTACTTGTTTCTTTTTTTTTCAATTTATTTTTATATGTATGAGTGTACTGCCTGCATGTGTGTAAGTGCAACCATGTGTGCAATGCCTGAGGAGGTCAGAAGAAGGCTCTCCCTGGAACTGGAGTTACAGACGGTTGTTAGCTGCCACGTGAGTGCTGGGAATTGAACCCAGGTCCTCTTTAAGAGCAATCAGTGCTCTTAACTGCTGAGCCATTCTCCAGCCCCAAACACTTATTTCTTTTTTTTTCTTTTTTTTTTCGTCTTTTTTGAGACAGGGTCTCCCTGTAGCCCCAGCTGGCCTGGAACTCACTATGTAGACCAGGCTGGCCTTGAACTCAGAGATCTGAGTGCTGGCACTAAAGGCATGTGACACCACACCTGACCAAACACTTGTTTCTTTTTTTTATTATTTAGAAATTTTTAAAAATTTATTTATTTTTTGGTCTTTTTGAGACAGGGTCTCCCTGTAGCCCCAGCTGTTCTGGATTCGCCATGGAGACCAGGCTGGCCTCGAACTCACAGAGGTCCACCTATCTCTGCCTTCCGAGTGCTGGGATTAAAGGTGTGTGCCACCACGCCTGGCCTTATTTATTATTTTTATTTATGTGTATGAGTGTTATGCCTGCATGTAGTTAAGTGCACCCGTGTCGTGCAGTGCCCACAGAAGACAGAAGAGGCTGTCGGATCCCCCCGGAACTGGAGTTATGGACAGTTGTTAGCTGCCATGTGGGTGCTGGGATTCAAACCCAGGTCTTCTGCAAGAACAGTTGGTGTTCTTAACCGCTGAGCCAAATCTCCAGCCCCACCACTTTTTTCTTAATACCTCTATTACCTCTGTCCCAAGTTCCTCTTCCTCATTTCCCTATTCATCCTTTGCCATTACCTGTCTGACCTTCAGATTCACCTGGGGAGACTACACAGAACTGGGCCCCATGCCTACTTTACCTACTTCTGACTCAGGTCTGTGATGGTATTCAGGAATCTATCACTTGTCAAGGTTCCAGCTGATCCAGATGACCAGTCAGGCTATGGCTTACATGGGTGAGTCCTCCCCTCCTATCCCCATCATATTTGGGTAATCACAGTCTTAAAAAGGGAGAAATATTTATTTTCAGCAAGCCCAAGTTTCCAAGCACAGACAGGAACCATATTCCTTCCACCATCAGATGACCTAGGTCTACAGGCTTACAGCCCTGATTCAGGCCTGGGAGGAGGGAAACTCCCAATGGGTAGATGGTCACTTGTACTGAGGGGAGAGTGGGGGCACAAGAGGAGCAGCACAGACACTCAGCATCTTGTTGATATCCACCTGGGTTGTCGTATCCACCTCAGCCTTGAGGCTGCCACTCACCCTCAGGCTGGACAAACCCCCAGACTCCTCTCCAACCTCTTCTCCCAGAGGAGGAGCAATAGTATGAGTGAGGGGTACTGTTGCATTAGAACAGGGTAAAGCAAGGCCTAAGCCCAGCTCACCTGCCATAGGCAGCAGGGTCTGCATCTGTTCCACACCTGCTTCCTCAGGGACCAGGGCCAACTCAGATTCAGGCACCACCTCTGTCTCCCTGTCTTCCTCCCCTGCCTGGTTCAGCTCAGGGTTGCGGTAGTTGATGTACTGGTATAGTGGCCGCAGGCGCTGGGCTTTTCCTGCAAGAAACCGAGACAGGGCAAAGGCAGGAGCGCCAGGCTGTGCCATTGTCAGACCCAGCAGACAGAGAAGAAAAAGGAAGGCTCAGGAATTGCTACTCACGATCCAACCCCAAGGTCTCTGTGGGTACAGATGCTGTGCTGACAACAGCTGGGAGCACAGGAGCCCCCACACTCTTGCGTTTTTTGGCTTTTTTGTGCTGTTTGGCAGACAGTGAGGACTCACTGTGGCTGCCCTCTGGCTCCTCCCTCTGCAGCTGCAGCCCTGGTGGCAGCTCGGCTTCAGCCCGAGGATGGGCATGGTGGCTAGGCCCTGGGAGGGCTAGGTTGGCCAAGCCAGGGACAAGAGGCCTGAAAGAGGGAGCTGTCAGCCTCTGACTCCTGTGTCTTGAGCCTCAGGCCTAGCCCTGCTGGCCCACTAACCCCTGGGCTAGATAGCTGTCCCTTTCCTGGTCAGTGAAGCCCCAGGTCATCTAAACTCAGTCTCTTACAAGACTTAGAGGATCTGTCTCTCTTGGTGCTCCCTATGGGAGGGCTCTAGAGAAACAGGAGTGGAGAGTAATGTACTTGCAGAGGATAAGGATCTGCCTTGCAAGAGTCAGGATTTAGGAATCTTGGGGTGGAAGACCCATCTCCCCAGTCCTGCAACTCCTTCCCCTCTGAGAGCCCCTCACTTGATGGGCTTCCTTTTGGGCCCATGTCTGGGTCTCACGGTGGATGCTGTAGGCCTGGGTTCTCTCTCCTCTCCTGCTTCCACCTCTGGATTGAGCCCTTCCTCTCCTGGCTTGGGTGCTTCCTCTTGGAGCTCTGGCTCTGAGCTGTGTCCTGCTGGACATTTGTCATGTGCTGGCACTAGACACTTTTCTTCTGTTTCCGGACACTAGAGGATACACCTAGGTAATTAGTTGCCATGGCCAGGTAAAGTATGTAGGGATCAGTCATTCAGAGACCAACATTTAGTCACAAAATATAAGCTGAAAGCCACCAGCTCAGCCCCCTCTCAACTTGTAGGGTTTGGCTTGGAAGTTAGGGTCACCTGGAATTCTGCCCCTCCTGCAGCGCTCCCACTCCCAGAGCGCTGCAGGCAAGTATTTGAAGATGAGTCACCTTGGGGTTCTCTGCAATCTGGGCTAATCCCACGGCAGCCCCATTCTGGGCTTCCGGCTGCGCTGCTGAGGCCATGACTGTGTGGAGTCAGTGCATACGACGACCGTTGCTAGGAGAGGACTGTGGGCCCCGAGAGGGATTGGACTGATGGACAACGGGACAACCAGGAAGCCAGGGTCTGCGGAGAAGGGAGATTTGTAGACCCTCCTCATCTGGAACTACAAACCCCACAAGGCTTTTCGCCGGGGTCATTTGACTCCTGACCGCAGGGACGGAAGCCATTTGTTGCCAGGCAACAGAAACTCCCACCGGGTTGTGGAGGTTGGCGGTAAAACTGTTCAAGTGCGAGCCCACGCTGGGGCGTTGCGGGGGAGGGACCTCGAACAGCGCAGGGAAGTGAGCTAGCGTCGGGGTAGCCGGGGGCTGGCGCTGACCGGGCCTAGGGGCCGGGCGGGAGACGGGGGTGGAGGATCGGGATGAGAACTGCGGGGCTGCAGGGTTCGGGTCGGGGGTGGAGGGGAGTTGGGGCGGGAGTTGCGCAGCGCAGCAGGCTTCCGTGCACCGTTGCAGGGAGACAGCGATATGTGCGAGGGCCCTTCCCGCATCTCTGGGCCCATCCCCCCAGACCCTACCCTCTGCCCTGACTACTACCGACGGCCAGCCTCGGGTGAGTTGCGGGGTGCCCTGGCGGAGCGAGGACTCCGCCCTATCATTGAGTTGGCTCTCCGCTGGGTCCTCAGCCCAGGGGCGCCTCCAGGGAAACTCGCTGAAGCTGGACCTGCTGACTTCGGATCGCGACCTGGACTCCAACCCTCCCCATGGCCCCCGGATCAGGCCTGGAGCCCGAGAGATCCTGGAGCGTGGCCAGCGAGGCGTGGGGGAAGTGCTGCTGCAACTAGGAGGCATCTCCCTTGGTTCAGGGGTCTCTCCGAAGAGTAAGTCCCTGCCAAAAGGGGCAGAGAGGCATCTGGAGGTCAAAAGCGAGATCAAAATAGGTTGCTGCTGCATTCTTGAGCCCAGGTTCTACCTCTCTGGGTCTCAGTTTCCTCAGTACTACCTCCCTACAGGATCCAACATTCACGCATTGATGAAACGTTTACCTTGTGCTGTTTTGTGCCAAGCTCTATAGCTGCTAGGAAAATGGTTAACAAGCATGGGCACCATTGAATCAATGCTCAAAGCAATAAACAAGCGAAGACAGGAGTGTAATATTCAAGATATTTAATGGTATATACTTCACTATAAAAATTTAGACAATTGCCGGGCGTGGTAGTGCACACCTTTAATCCCAGCACTCCGGAGGCAGAGGCAGATGGATCTCTGTGAGTTCAAGGCCAGTTGGTGCTACAGAGAGACCCTGTCTCAAAAAAAGACACATGAGAGAGAGAGAGAATAGGCCTGGTGTGGTGGTACACATCTTTAATTCTAGCACTTGGGAGGCAGAGGCAGGTGGATCACTTGTGAGAGCAAGGCCAGCCTGGTCAGTGGGGCTGCAGGGAGACCATGTCTCAAAAAAACAAAGCCGGGCATGGTGGCACATGCCTTTAATCCCAGCACTTGGGAAGCAGAGGCAGACAGATCTCTGTGAGTTCAAGGCCAGCCTGGTCTACATAGTGAGTTCTAGGACAGCTGGGGCTACAGGGAGACCCTGCCTCAAAAAAAAGACAAAAAAAAAAAGTAGACATTAACCTGGAGACACTACATAATGAAGAGAATAAGGTGAAGTATGTGTATAGGGTCTTAGATGAAAAGGTTAGGGTGGTATTAAAATTTTTATCTTTTATGATGCTAGAGATTGAACACAGGGCCTCTCATATACTAGGCAAGTGCTTTATCAGCCCCGGATGGTCTGGGAGATCTTTCTGTAGGGGTAAAGTATGAGCCTGTGTGTGATCTATTGTAAGCTGCATGGCCATAGATAGGTCTGTGCTTAGCAGCATCTTTTCCCCAGGGAAGGTTCCCAAAGACTACGAGAAGGAAAACCTCAAGCGGATCAGAGAAATTCAGAGGCGCTTCCGAGAACAGGAACATAGCAGGGAACAGGGCCAGCCCAAGCCCCTGAAGGCACTGTGGCGCTCACCCAAGTATGACAAGGTGGAGTCTCGAGTCAAGGCCAGGATGCAGGTACCTGTCCTGGGAACCAGAAGTATTGTCCATTTGGCCGACCGGCAGTTATACCATGATCTAACATACAGGGAGAGGGGGGAATCACAAAGGACTAAGACACCTGGGGTAGATCTTTTCTGAGGTAGTATTGGCATCAGGGCATGTAGGGGAGAGTGAAAGAGAATATTCTATAGATATAAAATGTCACAGGTGTAACTTCTGGGACCAGAGGGAGTGTGAGCAGTGAGGATACTAGGTACAATCTAGAGAGAAAAGCATAAGGTTAGGCCAAAAAGTCAGCTGGACCCACATCTGAAAGAATTAGCTAAGCTACTTGTCAACATAATTTGTGGTGAGGGGACTGAATTCAGGGATTCATGCATCCTAGGCTTATACTGTACCACTAAACTATATTCCCAGCATTGCTCTTTCCTACTAATTTTTCCTCTCTCATCTCTTCCCTCTCCTTCTCCCCCCCTCCTCTCTCTTGTTTCCTCCCTCATAGCAGAGGCTGACTTCAGACTCTATGTACATGAAATGAGAAGTTGATCTTGAACTCTTTTTTTTTTTTTTTTTTTTTTTTTTTTGTCTTTGAGACAGGGCCTCCCTGTAGCCCCAGCTGTCCTGGAACTCATTATGTAGGCAAGGCTAGCCTTGAACTCTCAGAGATTCACCTGTCTCTGCCTCCTGATTGCTGGGATTAAAGACATGTGCCACCATGCCTGGCTGTGGCCTTGAACTCTTGGTCTTCCTTTTTCTACTCCCCAGGTGCTGGGGTTATAGATGTGTACTACCACAACATTTTCTTCAAAACAAGGTCTCACTACCTAGCCCATGCTGTCCCTCAAACTCACAATGTAGCCCTGGCTGGCCTTGACCTTTGACACTTCCTGCCTTAGCCACCCAGGTGCTGAGTTAGCAGATTTAGGCCACCACTCAGCTCCTTTCTTTCTGAGACTGCTATGTAGCCCAGGCTGTCCTTGAAATCTCTGTTGACTAGGCTGGCCTCAAACTTTTGATCCTTCTGCTGCAGCCTTCTGAGTGCAGGGATTATAGGTGGCATGTGCCACCATGTTCCCTAAAGCATTTATATGTGAGGACAAAGAGGAGGGCAGTGGTGAGGGTATCCTGGTGAGGCACCGTTTCTCTATCCAGGGACTCTGAAAGAAGCAGGATTCAGAGAAAGGACAAGGTCACATGAGGCTGTATTGAGTCTGAAGCATCTGTGGGACTTCCAGGGGGTAGGATTGTGTCCAGGAAGCAGATGGATATGTAGCTCTGGATCTCAAGAGTGAGACCAAGGCGTTATTGACAATTAAATGGAGGACAATGAGACCAAGTAAGCAGCCCCTGGACTGCTTACTTTGAGGACTTGGGTGACAACTCTCAGTGATCTTGAGGGGCTAGAACCAGTAAGCTTGGCTAAGAAGGAGAAAAGAGTGGTAGCTAGACCAGGACAAAGGTAGATAGAGAAGTAGTTTGTTTTCATAGAACTGTTTTCATAGAACTGTTAAGAAGTGTTCCTTCAAGAGAGAGGAGGGGAGGGAGATGGACATAAGAATGTCTTTCAAGCTGGGCATGGTGGTGCACGCCTGTAGTCCCAGCACTTGGGAGGCAGAGGCAGGTGGATCTCTTTGAGTTCAAGGCCATCCTGGTCTACATAGTGAGTTCCAGGACAGCTGGGGCTACAAGGAGACCCTGTCTCAAATAGACCAAAAAAAAAAAAAAAAAGAATGCCTTTCAAAGCAGAGAGACAGAGGCATGGTCTTATGGCTTGAGACCCTGACTTCATCTTGACTGATTCCTCTGTTGTACTCTACCTTCCAGGAACCTGGCCCTGCCTCTGCAACAGAGCCTCCCTGCTTCCTGCGAGCACACTCCCACTGTGGCCCTGGGCTCTCACCATCCCATGTCCCCAGTCCTCAGCTCACTCCACCAGGTCCCAAAACTAAGGTGAGAAGATCTGTGGGGGCTAGAAGGCTCTTGGGCAGAGTTCCTGGGGATGGGGTGTAGGGGCCCAACACAATTTTATGGGGCCTCCAGCATGCTTGCCATGTCCCTGCAGGGGGCAGGCCTGGGTGTGGATTTCATTAGTCACAATGCCCGAGCTGCCAAGAGGGCCCCCCGGCACCATACCCGCTCGATGCAGGTCCTTGCACAGGTTTTGGAGCAGCAGAGGCAAGCCCAGGAACACTACAACGCCACACAGAAGGGCCACGTGCCACATTAGTAGGTCCCATGACCTGACACCTACGGTGAGGGACCTCTGTGGAGGGTGGGAACCAGCCTCTGCCTTGGTGTCATCAACCCCGGGCCTGTTATCTGCAGCTTGTTGGAGCGCAGGGATCTGTGGCGGCAGGAGGCTGAGGCCCGCCAGCATTGCCAGCCAGACCCTGCCATACCCCCAGGCCACACACTCATGCCTGAGAAGCAACGGCTAGAGACACTGAACAATCTGCTCCAGAGTGAGTACTCAGCCAAGGGTAGCTGAAGGGGAGCCCACTGGGGACCATGCATCCTACCCAACACTCACTGCTTCTGTGCCCTCTTGTAGGCCAGAGCCAGCTGCTACGTAAACTAATTTTGCTCCCTGCTGGTGCAGACTCTTTAAGAGCCCAAGGTCACCGTGCTGAGCTGGACCGGAAGCTGGTGCAAGTAGAAGAGGCCATCAAGATCTTTTCCCGCCCCAAAGTTTTTGTGAAGATGGATGCCTAAGCCCCCTTTTATGGAAAGGGTGGCAGGGATATCCATGCTGAGGATCACAAGGCTACAAAGGGCAGGGTTCTAAGACAGGTGCAGTGGGGTGGGCAGTATCTCCAAAGCACTCTTCCTAGTCACCAGTGGCTGCAGAAGGGCCATCCTAGCCTTTCAGCCCCTTTGTCAGAATTAAACCTTTTGTAACACAGTGGCTGTGTTTCTGTAGGAGCTTCTTTAGAAGTGCCAAGCCCAGTGGCCCTCCTGCTGCATAATTATAGGAAGGTCTCGCCAGTGCCCTCATCACTCCTGCCCTATGTCCAAGGCAGAAAGCAGACGTGTAGGATCAAGGAAAAGGCTAAGGCTGGGACACAGAAGGACCATATCTGCATTTGTAGAAAACCTTTAATGTTCACCAGGCTGAGAGGGCTCAGTGTGCAAGCTAATCTCCCCTCCCCAACTGGAAGTCCCTGCCACGTCCAGCAGCCTGAAATGACAAGGGCTGCATCTTTGCCTGTCAGAGGCTGAATCCACTTCCATCACCTCGCATGCCACTCCCCCAGCCAGAGCTGGCTTGCTCTTGGCCATCCAAGGAGGGCAGAGAGCTGCCAGCACCAGAAAGTAGGCAGCCAGGTTGCAGGTCCCAGCACAGGGGGCCCTGAGACAACCCATTGGAACAGGGAGGGTGGCGATTTTCAATAACAAGGTCATTGCTGTCATCATCACTGTCGGGGTCAGTAGGCCCAGGACCTACAGGGGGAGGCCCTGTCAGACGCCCAGATGCCCCTCGTACCACATTATTACGTTGGTTGGCAGGCTTGACAGTGACAATGAGGTTATGGCTGTTGGCAACCATCATGTCTGTCACTTGGTCCAAGGTCTTCCCAGCCACCTCAATGCCATTGACCTCGAGGATCTCATCACTGACTGCCAGCAGCCCTGTACTCTCAGCCAGACCCCCACGTACCAGGCGGGAGATGAAGATGCCTGGAACTCGTTCCAGGCCCTGGGGAGCCACACGCACACTCATGCCATCTCGAATGTAGAAGCCCAGGGGGCGGTCTGAGCCATGTTTGTGCAGCCTCACTCGTCGGTGGGTCTCAGGCAGTAGGTCCACATCTATGACTGAGGAAACCTGACGGAAATCTTGGGGCAGGCTGATTAACAAAGGTGGCCGAGTGCGCAGGGGTGCCACTGGTCGTAGCAGGAGCCCTTTCTTTCGTCGCTGCAGAGAGTTGGAGGCAAAAGCCAGGCCGCCGGAGTCACCTTCTGCTGGAGAGGAGGGTGCTGAGATTAGAGACTACTCTCCCATTTGGGTCCTTTACAGGGGCAATGTCAAATGTTTCCTACCACTTGGAGGTCAGACCAAGGGCAGGGACTGCAGAAGGTGAAGCCTAGGAGCCCTGGGTATGGACTAGCCCTTGTAGACCTGCCCTGTCACCCTACCCCAAGGAGGTTGCCCACTGTGTACCCCATCCTCACCCCGCTTCTGCACCAGAAGGCGCAGCGGTGGGGGCCCGCTGGCCAGGGCCCGGTGCAAGCTGTCATCGTTGGTGAGGGGCAGCAAGTCGCCATGGGCATCCGTGTAGCCAAGCAGCACGTCCAGGCCAGGAATCTGGTGTACCACACGCAGCAACCGCGAGAACTCCTGGAAGCCACTCACTGAAGCTCGAGGCAGCGCAAAGCGTCGGAACTCAGCGTCAAACTGGAGACGGGAGGGGAAGGGAAGAGGAGGGTCAGGACGGAGCCTGAGCCCCTTTCTCACTACTGGACTGAGGCTATGATGGGTGGGAAAGAGGACTGCTGCAACAGCTGCAGCTTTAAATCTAAACCTTGGTTCCAGCACAAGGGACGCTGTCCAAGGTCCTCCCCCTCGCCCTCCACATGCCCAGGCCACCCAGACGGGACTCTGGAGATCGGCAGCAGAAGGGAGGACGGATGAGGAAAAGCGGACAGGAGAGCAGAATAGGACGTGGAGGATGGAGGACAGAAAGAGGTGATGGAGACCAAGGAGCCAGTAAAGGAAAGAAAGGGAATTGGGAGCGCCTAGCGCGGGGGCCGGAGCCAAGGCCGGAGGAGCCCTTACTTTGCTCTTCACCTCGACGATGCTGTCCGGACTTCGTGCCGGAGTCCTCTGCGGCCTGGCCATTGCGGGGCCTGGCAGTGCCCCAGGCAGCCCGCCGAGGCGCAGGTGCACAGCCGGGCCGGCTGGCCCGTGCCGCCCCGCCCCTGGCGGGAGCACTTGCCCCCCCCCCCCACCCCCAGCCTC